GATGAAGCAGGGATCTGGCTGAGGTCTGGTACCTGATGAGGGCTGAGCTGGGACTCCATGGGCCTGCAGGTTTGTGCCATGGTGCAGATGCAGCTGCTTAGGGAGAAGAAGGGTGGCAGGGGAGGGAGGCTTGGATGAAAGGCTGGGCCAGGAGGAAGCTAAGGGGCTATAGAGGTGGAAAACACTGGGAGCTGTCAGAGACTCACTATAGCCACTGTGGGCTGAGGGTCTTAGCATGAAGGTGGGCACTGGGCATCATAATGCCCACAGGTAATCCCGATTCAGGAGGCTGAGGCAGGAGGATTGCCATGAGTTTGAGGTCAGCCTGGGCTACTCAGTGACTCTGCTAAGAATACCCCAAAAAGACTAAATTGGCGTTGCTGCATCTTGAGGTCCCCTGTCTGGGGTGGGGCAGATCAGGTGGAGGAAAGTGACAGCATGAGGTCATAGAGGCTATCTCTGTTCCATCTCAACCTCAACCTTCCAGCTGCAGCAAGGCAAGAACCTGAGCCCTGTCCTGGGGTTTTCAGAACCCAGAGAGCATTCGTCCCTGTGAGGAGGGTAGGAGCTTAGCTGAAGCTAGAGAGCTGCTGGGGTCTTGGTGGGAGCCCAGCTGTCTACCCAAGACAGCAGAAATCCTAATGCGTCAGGAGCAGGCAGGGTTGGATACAGCTCAGAGGCAGAGTGCATGTCTGGCATGGAGGAGACCCAGTACCCACTCTCTACCACAGGCTTTGCACAGGAGGCCCACAGCTGACCTTGGCCAGCTTTGTTTTCTGCACTCTGGACTCAGTTGCAGAGGAAGAGCATGTAGACTGCTGGAGTCAGCAGGACGTGGAATTCTCTGAATGATAAAGACAAACACCAGCATGAGTGGTTCCTGGTCCAGGCCAGGAAGTGGAGGCCTGGCTGGCTCTGCCCCTGCCCATTGCCTGGTTCCCGAGCCCTCTAATGTGGTGGCCCAAGGAACAGACTCAGGGGGGAGCTCAGTGCTCCTGGCTGGGCACTGGTGCCTGAGGGGGTGTGTTTTGGGAACTGGAGGTCCGAAAGGTTGCTTTTGCCCTTCTGAGCAGCTGGACAGACCAGAACTCCAGGAGCAATGGGTGCTGAGTGCCCTGAGTGTCCTTGGGAGGGGTGGCACTGGGGGGCAGCTCAAGTGTTGACTGCAATCTTTGAGTACACGAGGCCCAGGCTGGGTATGGACAGCTGTGTTGAGGAAACAGAGAAGAGGCTTCTGCAGGAACAGGGTGCTGGGCTGCAGGAGCCAGGGGAAGCAGGAGAGGCTCCTCCTAAGGTTCTGGGGGAGCTTGGCCTGAGACACTCAGATCTGGACACCATGTGACCCACTGTCCCAAGCCTCCCAGTTTGTAGCACTTACTGCCACAGTCCAAGGAAAGCAACCCCTGTGCCTGTCTGGTTATTCCTCCCACTGCCCCTGGTCCACCCAGAGTCACATGCCTGTGTGCCTTCTGTGAATGGAGGCACTGAGCACTCTCACCAGTGTGACACTATGGTCTCTTTAAAAAAAATTTTTTTTGTACTAGGATTTGAACTTATGACCTGGCGCTTGCCTGGCAGGCACTTACACTGCTGACCTAAACCCCCAGCCCCTTTGGTCTTTTCAAGTCCTTGCATCTGAAGAATGTTGGTGTGGGCATGCATGTCTAACATGCTCAGGGGCCTGGACTTGAACACCCTGTCTTAGTTACTTTTTATTTGTTGTTGAGGCAAATTATCAGATGTCCAAGTTGTGAAAGAAAGGTTTATTTTTTATAGTTTTTGGAGGTGTTAGTCAGCCTGAGCCCCACCCTGGGAGCTTTGATTTTGTCTCTTGGTTGGCAGAGTCTGAAACGCTCTCCATTGAGCCCTACACAGAAGAGCCTGTGAACCTCAGAGTCGGGATTGTCCTGTGGAGCAGCGACCTTGAGCTGGAGAAGCTTATGTGTGTACTCAGGAGGCGGGCAGCTGTGAGATAGGAGCCAGGACAACTCCTGGCTTCCGGTATGGGAAGTGGCAGGGAAGCAGGAAATGAACAGGGAGAGAAACTAGGGGGAGGCCAGGGTGGAGGCAGTGGGAACTGCTTCCAGGTGTGTTTTATGGTCATCTGATTCCTGGAGATCTGGAGTTTGTCCACAAAGATGCTGAAAATGATGACACTGGAAGCAGTGGCTTCTAGCCCTGCAGGGTACAGGGCTGCCTCGGGCACCAGATATTTAAAAAGTTTGTGCTCCAAGGGTGTGCCAGGTGGCCTGGAATCCTGTGGGTCAGCTGAAGAAGTGAAGACTCTATAGTCCTAGGATCCCGGGGTGGGGGGCTCCCTGGCCAGGGCTCTGTTCATTCATTAATTCATTAATTTAGGCTTGGCAAGCTGTCGAGAGACTGGGCCTGATCCTAGTGGGACACAGGTGTGTGATCCTTCTGCTGCCTTGGGGGCCCCACTGAGGTATGGGGTAGGATCTGGGTGGCCATTTGCTCTGGGTCCATTTGTCTTGGAAGCGGTAACTGGGTCCCCTGCCAGGCTATCCTCTTGGCTGCCAACAGATGGAGCCAGAGTCACACTGGTCAGCAGTGGCCAACCGGGACAGGGACCCAGGGTTGACCTTGGCCACCTTTTCCAGGCATGGTGGGGAGCAGGTGGCATTCAGGGAAGCAGGCATCCTCTTCCTGCTTCCTGCCACCTAGCTACCTTCTCCCCAGCACAGGTTCTTTCCTTGCTCTCTGGCTGCAGCATCTGCAGGGCTGCTGCCCCAGAGCCTGGTGAGGAGGCCTTCCTGACCTTTATACTGTCCCACAGGCCCTGTCCTCCCATGGCCAGCTTGGGGGCTCTTGGGATGCAAGTTGGAGCCCAGGCCCACTCGACTTGCCCATGCTTTCCTGTCCTCTGTCCCATTCTTCTGTCTCTTCTCTAAGGGCCTTGTGGTCCTGTCAGAGAAGGGGATACGAGCACAGGTGACCCTGAGGATGTGTGGCACTCCATGCAAGGTCCACTGGACAAGAGGCAGGCATGAGCCACCAGGCCCAGTGCAATTCAGGCACAGCCTGGGCCCTCCTTCCAGGATCCAGGAGAGGTCAGGCTGGATGAACCTGGAGCTCCATTTCTCGACTGAGGCTCTGAGGCCTTCCACACAGGCTGGGTCATGAGGACACAGGTAAAGTGGAGGCACTTTCAGGTCACAGGCTGGCAGCCCAGAGCTGGACACAGGGGTCCAGATTTCTCATCCACACTCTCATTCCCACTGCTCAGGGGCTTCTGGGAGTCCTGGAAGCTGAGGATGAATTCTTCTCCTCCCTCTGCAAGGACTTAACCCCACTAGAACCCCACTTGTCTAGGTCAGGATCTCTGCCTGGTTTGCAACCACTTGGGGGACTAATCAGTACTCAAGGGCAGTGTTGTGGCTTTTGTCTCTATGTTCCCCAAAGCCTCACAGTCTCAGGTAGGCCAGTTTCAGAGGTGGCTGTATCTAGAATGTGTGACACTGGAATTGATTCATGGTGCAATGCTAGGCTCAAGGGTACTACCCATCCTGACCAGCCTGGATAAAAGAGGCAGAAAGATGGTGTTAATCCCAAGTTGCTTCTGTCTTCTGCCTGCCATGAACTATTTCTCCTCTGCAATGCCCCTCTGCCATAGAGCCAGTCAACTTTGGACTGAAACTTCTACAGAATGTGAGCCAAATAAAATTTTCCCTTTTTAACTCTGGGTGTCACATATTTTGTCCCAGCAATGAAAAAAGCAAGACAGCCAGCTGGGTGTGGTGGCATACATCTGTGATTCCAGCCCTGGAGAGGCTGATGTAGGAGGATTTCGAGTTTGAGCCCAGCCTGGTCTAGAGTGAGACCCTGTCTCAAAAATAAGTCAGGAATGGTGGTGCATACCAATCATCCAAGCACTCTGGGAAGCTGAGGCAGGTGGTTCACAAGTTTGAGCCTGGCCTGGGCAATTTATGACTTAGAGGGACACCCAGTCTCAAAATAAATAAAACATTTAAAAAGGGCTGGGAATGTAGCCCTGAGTTTAAATTACAGTGTTGCAAAAACAACCAGAAGCATATAGTTGGTTTCAACCCTCAGATTCCATTTTTGTACATCTAGGGTGACCCCAACATCTGCCTACCAATACTGAGGCTACTAGCAGGGGGCCACACCTTCTTCAGGAGGGCATGGCCATGTCACACCTCCTGGGAGGAGATGTCAGCCCTGGGGCCACATTACTGGTGGGAGAATCTTCCTTGCATACCAATAGGCACACACGTAGGTGATGCCCAAAATATGTCTGGAGTGGTGGCTCTGGGCCTCTCCTACTTCTGAATTTTAGGAGGCTGATGCGGAGAGCCAGGCCTGTGAGATATCTAATGGTTGCACTGGGCACCAAGGTTGGCACTGTGTTGTCACACTGTTGTCAGGGGATCCGGCCCAGCCCGCTTGTCTCCTCCAAGGGAGGACTCCACGTGGCCCTGCTCCACCTAGCCTCTTCCTGCTCCTATTGCCATTTCCTTCTGTTCTCTCCAGGAAGTGGCAGATTTGCTGAGTTCCATGTTTCTTGCTAGCAAATCCATGACCCTTTCGGCTTGGGGACTCCCGACCCCACTCCCACCTTGAGAACCATCTCCATGGGATTTCTCTAGGTCCTTGGCATGAGACTTGAGCTCCTGCTCCACAAGGTGTTCTCCTGCAGGGTCACCCCAGCTTGATACAGTCAAGGGTAGGAGACTGACATGAGCTGTGGGTTAAGCCTGGACTGCGCCTCCACTCACCTCATTTCCCTACCTATAAACTGGAATTTGGAGCCCCTCTGTACTCTCCCTGTGACAAGGGCCCAGATGCCCTCTGTGGCCAGCTCTGCCTGCTCACCCTCCTTGCCCGGGCCAGGCTGCAGGCTACCTCTCCCAGAGCTGATTAGGGGTCACATCCCATGTCCCACTATCTTATGCCTCCTGACTGTCTACTGTGGCCGGAGCCTGGGCCAGCAGCAACACCCAATGAACAGCCTTGACACCGGCTGGTTGTGCAGCTTTATTCAGACTCAGCACTTGCTGAGATGGAGGAAAGAACACGTGGGCCAGCCCGGGGCAAGGGCTGCTGGGAGGCCATGCATGGTCAGGAAGGAACTCAGGGGGGGACCTGTTGCTGGTGGGGTGGGGTAGGGCAGGGTAGGGTTGGCAGGGCTGGCAAGACTGGTGGTAGGTGGCATGCGGGGCCTGACTGGGCTGCAGGACCTGAGCGGTCCAGTCCCAATGGTGGCTATAAGCCAGGTGGGAAAGGACCAAGGTTGCTGGGACAAAGGGCAGAGAAGACAGCAGGATACTTAACACCTGGCGCCTGGCCCCACAGCTGCCACCAGCCTTTAGATCCTCCCTGGAGTCATTGCCCTGCTGCTGCTGGGATGTGTGCCTGGGAGGTGACACACAGGGTGCCCTGGGGGCGTCTTGGGAGCTGAACTGTCCTGAGGAGTGGGGGAAGGATTTCCAGCTGGGGTTCCTGTGCTTGGAGCCAAGCTTCTCACCTCAGAATCTGGCGTCAGTGCCCGCTGTGGCCTCGAAAGCAATGCATGGGCATCTCCCACCACAGTCCTGCTGCTCGGCTTGCCGGGGCGTGGCCTCCCAGTTGAACAGCCCGCCCTGGGCTTCCTGCCCTAAGCAAACAGGGAGCAAAGCCTGGATCCTCCTGTGGGACTTTTCCTGGTGCGGGTCCATTCCCGCCCAGCAGGGAATGAAAAACCAGTTCCCCAGGTTCCGCTGCTGTTGGTTGGGAGAGCAGGCAGGGCCTTTCTGGCTGTCCGGGAGGCGGAGCATGAATCCCAGGATTGGGCTTGGGACGGTGAAGGGCCGGGCCCTCAGCACTGACGGGAGGGTGTGCGGTGTACCGAGCCTGGGCGCTTGGGTATCTTGCGCCAGCGCCGTTTGTCCCAGCGACAGAGCAGCAGCAGGCGAAAGGTGTCCCGGAAGGCCTTGTTGCAGAGCGCGTAGCACATGGGGTTGACGGTGCTGTTGACATAGCACAGCCAGTAGCCCAGCTCCCACAAGGTCTCGGGAACACAGTCCTTGCAGAAGGTAGACACCAGCACCATGATGTTGTATGGTGTCCAGGTGAGAATGAAGGCCAGGAGGATGGCGCTCAGGGTCCGGGCTGCCTTCTTCTCCTTGACCAATGAGAAGGTCTTGCGCTTGGTCAGCTGTTCCTTCCCACGGGGCTTTTGGGCCCGGCTGGCTCGGTCTCGGCCCTTCCGAGTGGGCCTCTTCACTGTGCTTGGGGAGCTCTTGGGGGGCGGCTTGGCAGGTGCTTGGGCCCCGGCGTCTACCATGGGCATCTTGATGGCCACCTCAGTGCCAGGCTCCTCACCCTCTGAGGATGTGAGTGACTCCATGGAGCCCTCTTCTTCCTCCTCCTCCTCCTTCCAGCTGTAGACCTGCAGCAGCCTGGGTGCCTGGCAGCAGCGGCAGCAGCGGCCCGGCGGGGTCTCTGGGGAGCCCTCAGCTCCAGGCTGTGACCTCTCCGAGCTGCTGCTGCTGCCGCCACCCTTGCCAGGTGTCTCAGAGCCCTGCAGGGCTGCCAGCTCCCGCGCCCGGTTCTCCGTTTCGCGGTAGATGCGCCAGTAGAGCGCACACATGACGGTGACCGGGAGGTAGAAGGCGGCCATGGCGGTGCCGAAGGTGATGATAGGCTGGGAGAGGAACTGGATGTAGCACTGCCCGGCCAGCACCGTCCGCTCACCCACAAGGTACTGCCAGAAGAGGATGGCTGGTGCCCAGAGCACAAAGGAGACCAGCCAGGCCAGCCCAATCATCAAGGCTGCCCGACGTGGTGTGCGCTTGGTGCGGTAGCTGAGTGGTCGGGTCACTGAGAAGTAGCGGTCAAAGCTGATGAGCAGCAGGTTCATGACGGAGGCATTGCTGGCCACATAGTCCAGAGCCAGCCAGAGGTCACAGGCCAGTGTGCCCAGTGCCCAGTGGCCCATGAGCAGGTAGGTGGTGTAGAGGTTCATGGAGAAGGTACCTATGATGAGGTCAGCACAGGCCAGGCTCAGCAGGAAGTAGTTGTTGACTGTCTTGAGCTCTGTGTTCACCTTGAAGGAGATGAGGACCAGCAGGTTGCCTGTCACGGTGGCCAGCGACAGGAGCCCTGTGGTGATGCCAATGAAGGCCACCTGCCAGGGACCCTTTCCTGGGGCCAGAATGGTGATGTTGGGGCTGACGGCGGGTGGAGCTGAGGTGTTCATGGTGGCCTGGTGGGCAGCAGTGGCCTGTCAACCAGTACCACAGAGGGCGTCCTCAAAGGGATGTCATCACCTGTAGACAGCAGACATGGGCTCGGTTGGTACCTGAATGGGTGCCGCAGGCCAGGCACACGATGCCCTCTGCCGAGAGGCCATAGCAGTGCACTTGGCCTGGCTGGTGGCTGAGATGAGAACCAGGCCAGACACTGCTTCTTTCAGCGCTGCATGCAGCTGCCAAGCCTCTGTGCCCACTGAGGGGCTGCCAGGGGGCGCCCAGCACACGTGGCCCAAGCTGGGTGGGGGCTCTCTTCTCACCCAGTTTCTTGGATTTCAAAGCATTCAGCTCAGCCTTAGCGGCGTTTCACTGCTGAGGTGTGGCTGCATCCCAGACCCCATGGTAAGGGCTCAGTCAAGTGACTGAGCTAATCCGTATGTGTCTTCAGGAGGACAGCCTCGCTACCCTCATCTCACCACAGGAAGTGGGGTCTGGGCCCAGATGGGATGTGGAAGGGCCCCCTCTGCTGGCTCTGTTCCTAGGCTCCGGCAGATGCTCCGATGTCCCTGGGATCTGGAGTGGGGCCTAGGCACCAAGTGGGGTAAAGAGAAAGGCTCACAGCCAGGGCTGTTCTGCTGGGGGTGCGCTGGGTCAGCTCAGGTGCCTCTCCGGAGTGCTCAGCTGGGGCACAGGGAAGGGGTCCCCCTGGCTGTGGCCCTGCTGTGTGTGAGGAGGGGTGTGCCCTGCTCTGGGTCACAGGCACCCGTCTGCCCATGCCTACTGCTACTGGCAGCCTCTGTGTGTGCAGTGGTACTGTGACCTAGAGCGGGTGTGAGTAGCTGTCAGCGGGGGCCATGCCTGCGACAGGACAGGGCCAAAGCTGGCAGTGTGGCTTTGGAATCCAGGGTTCACCAATGACTGGGAAGAATGATTGCTAGTGATGTGGCTTTTTATATCTCAGTTTCCTCAACTGAAAAACAAGGATAAAACCCATGGGTGGGCTCACATTTCAGGGACATGGCTGTGGAGGATTAGTGTTTGGACAGCTCTGGGCTGGTGAAGCATGCGCTTCATATTGAGCCCTGCAAGGCTGCCTCCTGCTGGCAGCATCCATTGCTTGGATTACGAATCTTGAAAACAATGAAGGGGCTGCTGCTGCTTCAGCTATGCTCACTGCTGTTGGGGATATGTGGTGTGGAGCCAGTTGTTGCTTGGCCACCCCATTCAGTCTTCACAGAAACCTATGACCTGGGTCTCACTTTCCTCTCCCTTTTAGAGATGAGGAAGCTGAAGCTGAAAAACCATATAGATTTACAGATCTCTCAAGATGGGGAGAAGTAAGGAGCACAGCCCCAGTGGTCTGTCCCAGAGCAACTTCATTAGGCTGCTGCTGACTAACCGGGCTCTCCTCAACCAACATGAATCTTAAGAATACTGCATTAAAATATGGTGGTATGGTGTAATCCCAGTACTCAGGAGGGTGAGGCAGGAGGACTGCAATTTGGAGCCAGTCTCGGGCAAGTGGGAGGACCCTGTCTCATAATAAAACCTTAAAAGGGCTGAGTATGTAGTTCAGGGATGAGTGTTCAACTAGTACACTTGAGGCCTTGGCTTAACCCCCAGTTGCAAAAAAGCAAAATTAGGTTTTTTTTTTTTTTTTTTTTTTTTTTTTTTGAGATAGGGTCTTGCTATGTAGTTCAGGCTGGTCTTGAGTTCACTTTGTAGTCCAGGCTGGACTTGTAGTCAGGCTGGTCTTGAACTCACAGCAATCCTCCTGCCTCAGCTTCCAGAGTGCCTGAGATTACAGACATGTACCACTATGCCTGGCCAGCAAATTAGTCTTGATTATGAGTTTTTGATGCACCCATCTCATTTAGAGTTGGATACCAGCAAGAGGCTGAGATCTGGTGGGGTTTTCCCTACTCCTGACCCTTTTGCTTCCCGAAGTCAGTGTTGTGTTACACCCATTGCTTTAAAGAGGCAATTGAGGCTCAGAAGAAAGAAGTGGAAGACACCTCCAGACTGAGCTTGGCTTCTTCCCCATCCCAGGCAGGGACACTTGCCTCAGGGTCACCCAGGACTCAAGAAAAGAGCATTTTAATCCAATATTTTAAAGAAGAGAAATTAATGCAAAGAATCCACAGTGAAAATGTTAACCAAGAGGACTCAGCCTGTGGGGCAGCCTTGTTTCACCTGGCTGTCCTGTCCTGACCAGAAACAGAGTGTGGGTGGGCACTGCGGCAGTTTCGGGACTCCCCCAGACAATCTGTGCATACTTCCCTGCTGGCTTAGAGTCCTAATCTGGCTGTGACCTCACAAGGTGCTGTCCTGGTCAGGGAGCCCTGACCAGGATTGGCTGGAAAGTGTGTGTGCTACTGAGGGGGACCCAAGAGTGGGGATGAGGGTGGTGGCCTGGCAGGGAGGTGCTGTTTGCTCAGGCTTGGGCCTCCCGGTGAAGGCTGTGGAGCCTTTAATGATGTTACTAATATCATCCCAGCAACTGGTATGTACTGCCTGCTAGAACCTCCTAGACACAGTTGAGTGCATCACATGGGTGATGTGATTTAGCTGCTCCCGCCCCTCAGAAGAGAGGTTCCATTATCATTACCCTAAGTCTGCAAAAGGAGCAGCAACCATGCAGTCCCTCAGGGATGAGACCTGGGTCCCTGCTTCCTGAAGTCAGTGCTATGTTACACCCATTGCATTAAGGAGGCAACTGAGGTCCAGAAGAAAGAGGTGGAAGACACCTCCAAACTGAGTCAGGGTTGGGACCTGGTCTGCATCCAGGTCGGTTGCATTCAGGTCTGTGACCAGCCTCCCTGACTATTCCTGCAGGCTGGGCCAAACCCGTTTGCATCATTTAGCGTCCAGGACTCTGTCCTCTGCTTGGAACCTGCCTGGGTGTGACAGTCTGTCCCATGACAGTGATGACAGTGTGGAGGTGGAGCCAGCACAAGGCAAGGCTCTGACGGCCCCATGTCCTACTCACTCTGCCCAGCCCCAGCACACAGTAATGGCTTAGTAAGTGTCCATGAAACAAGTAACAGTGGCATGGGGTCCTCCTACTCCTTGGCTGAAAGCTCTGGACAGGACAGGTACCAGCAGAGCCCAGGCCACCTTTTCCCATATCTTCTCCTGGGCTGGGCCTCTGCTCCTGAGGTGAGGGCTCCTCTGTAAAATGGACCAAGGAAATCCTGCGTCCCAGCTGTAGGGAAGCCATGGGTGTGCACGTGTGTGTGTGTGTGTGTGTGTGTGTGCGTGTGTGTATGCATATATGTGTGATCCTGGATACAAAGGGTTAAGGGATGAGGTCAGAACCTCCGACTGCAACCCACTGACCAACCAACTGACCAGGCCAGCCCTGGACTTGCCCCTGTCTCTTGAGGCTGGGTATCTGGCTGCCAAGGAGGGAAGGCAAGAGACAGCCAACGGCAGATTCCTGAGCATCACCCACGGGTGGGGTGGGATGTGGAGCCATCTTGGTGCCTGGCCCGGAGGCCTGCAGAGTCCTGACTGGAGCAGAGGCCTCCAGGGGACTGTGGTCAGCAGAGGGCAGACAGGTGGCGAAGATGTCCTCCCCCAGCCAGGCTCCCTGCCTGGTGTGCCCTTCCAGAGTATGGCCCACAGACCAGCCTTTCTCAGGTGGCTCTTGACCCACAAAAGACACCCCAACTACTGCTCCTGATGCCAGGTTTCAAAATGACAATGTAAATGGCAGAGCTGGTCACATTCTCAGCTCAGGTTGCCCTGTGATGCCAGGCAGTTGCCCTTAGTTAAACATGGCACAGACAGCTGTGGGGAGAGGACAGCATCCCAAAGCCACTGTCAAACGTGCTCACTGCAAGAGCCACTACCTGTGCTATTTCCAGCCTGCTCATAGCCAGCAGGCTGGGCCTGGACCTGTTCTGGGTGCTTTGGAGCTCGGTGGGCCTCGGGGTGCCAGGTCCTCCTTGTGCCCCTGCCAGCTCCTGCTCTCCTCTCCTCCTCCTCTTTCCTCCCCCTCCATCACCATGGCACCACCGGCACACAGCACTTGGCATCTCACCCACTCTGCTGTGCCCGCTGCCTGGAGCCCTTGCTGCTGCTTCTCCTACCACCCTGCTCCGGGACCCCCTCAGTCTCCTTCCTGTGGCTGAGGCCATGCCTACCCCAGCCTCAATTGCTCCATTCCCACAATGAGTAGCTCCTCTCAAGGTCTGCTGGGACTTTGGCCTTGTCCTTTCTTGACTCCTGGGAGGTCCCCTTGTGCTTCTGATCCAATCTCCAGCTCTCAATGTGTCCCTCCTGGGCAGGGCACAAATGCAGCCCAGCAAGTGGCTAGTATCTGGGATTAGGAGGCTGCCTACTTCTTTAGCTGCTCAACTGCCCTGGCAGAGTGGAGCTGCAGGTGTGTTTCCAAGGAAGAGGCGAACCCTTGCTGTGGCACCGGTAATTTACCATGCCAAGAGTCTAACTGCGCTCTCTTACTCCCCACCATGCACTGGTGACACTGCAGGAACCCCACATGGTGGGGTCTCCAAGCACTGCCTGAACTCAGACCTGAACCTCCCCTGTGAGCACCTGAGGTACTAGAAACATGCGATGACCCCTGTCAGGGCCACCTTCCCGGCTAGTGTGCCATCCTTGGGCCCAGCTGCCCAGCAAGCCTGGGGGACTCTGCCCAACACCCACCTTGGTATCCAGCTTGTCCACACAGCCAGTAGCCTGGGTCAGTCCATCTTGGGGGGGTGACAGCGGGTGGGGGTGCCCTGAGGGAGGAGAGAGGAGATTCTAGGACCAGAGCCAATGAAGGGGAGCCAGACCCCCATGGACAATGATGGCCGGGGCTACCTCTGGGCTCCTGCCTGCCCACTTGCTACCAGGCACAGGGGAGCCTCCTCCCTGCTGGGCTGGGCCAATTACTGGAGGTGGGGGTCTTCACCTCCCCTACTGGTTAGAGGCCAGGACAACATCAGAGGTGCCCATTTTAAAGCCAAGCTGTTGGGGGCAACCAGAATCCAGTGACCGCAGCCCGGGGCCTGCAGTCACCCCTGCTGTCTCCTCCCCTAGGGCCACCCACCTTGGCCCTGCCCTGGCTCCGGACCCTGCTCCCTCCCACCTCACCAGCTCCCTGCCTGCACTCACCGTGGGCACACAGGGGTCTGCAGGGTCCTCAGCCTCGTGCTCCTCCGGGAGCCGCGTCTCCCGGGACCCAAACACCTGGCTCCCGGGGGGAGCTGCGCCCTGCGCTGGCAACGGGAGCGGCACAGCCGGTGATTGGCACGTCCCACCCCCTGGCATGGCAGCCGGGGGGAGGGAGGGAGAGGGAGAAGAGGAGGGGGGGAGGAGGAGGGAGCGGGGAGCCTCAGGCGGCATCTGGGGGTGGGCCGGTCCACAGGCACCCCCCTCACCCCCGGGGCACCCACCTAGAGCCCTGAGAAGGCGGAGGCAGGGCACCGGGAAGGCGAGCCCGGGAAGGAAAAGTCCCGGACGGCAGGGAAGGCGGATTCCGTAGACAAACACCCACACCCAGTGCACACGGACGCGCGGCACCGCGCAGAGGCGCACGGTGCCCCCCCAACCCCGCACGCCTGGGACCACACGCGAACCCCCCACGCGCCCACCCACCCGGCCACGCGCCCTGCCGTACCCCCCGCCCGCCTGGGCTCTGCGCGTGGAAATGACACACTGGGCCTCACGTGCGAGGCTGCAGCTTGGCGCGGACCCAGGGCTGGGCGCGTGCGGCGCCGCGTGCCCGTGCGGGGTCCTGAGGCCTGGCTCAGGGAGGAACCGCGTGGGCGCCCGGCACCTGGGCGCTCCCGGGTCCCTGCGCCCCGGGTGTTCGGGGCGTGACCGTGCACGCGTGCCACCACTGTGCACCCCGCGTCCGCTGAGGGTGGCCCCGGAGGACTAGGGGACCCAGAGCCCAGCCGTCGGACCGCGAGCACACGTGCTCCCCGCCCGCGCTCGGGTTTCCGCGTCGTCTCCTAGGAGACCGCGCCCTGAGGGCAGCGTGGCTTGGTCCCATACCGCAGGCCTGGCCTCCCAAGGCGCCTAGGCCCTGGGGGGCAGGAACCGCGTTGCCCCTGGGGATGTGCAGACCGAATCCCACTCACCCCGTCGACCCCAGGCGCAGTGTGCCAGGATGGGGCTCTGGCACTCTGGCGAGGCTGTTGGGGGCGTTCCTTCCTGAGGGCGGCTGGGGGCCCTGGACACCCATCCAGATCGTCTCCCGCGCGGCTCCCGCTACGGGATTGAGGCTGGCGGTCCCTGGAGTCCTCGGGTCCCTCTGGCCAGCGTCCCCAGAAAAAAAAGCTCACTCTATGGGGGAGGGGTCCCAGCGTCCCAGCTACCTGAGGCCGAAACAGGGGGATCTCTTATTTTCGTCCCTGGCTGAGTACCCTCCCGCTTCCTGCCTGGACTTGGGGAAATCGAGGCAGGGAAGGGCGGGGGCAGGGAGAAGCACCCGCGCCGGCTGGCTCGCCACCCCCGCGCGCGCCTGATTTAGCCAAGGCTGCAAGCGGCTTATTTTAGCGCCTAGTGCTGCACGAAGGAACGTGGCTGCTTGGGCGCGGCGCACGTGATCCCTGCCCGGCTGCTCTCGGGGGTGGGACATAGCTGGCCCACCTTGGGCATCCGGGAGAGTCCTTCACCACCTGGGCCCCAGTTTCCTCATCATACTGTGGCAGGCGCTCAGGTGTAGGTGGTGCTCGCTGGGGAGGATGGCTGCGCCTGTGCGACACACAAACTGTTCTCCACGAACTTTGTGCCCACTTCACGACGGGGGACGGCAGGTGGACGCTTGCTGCCTGAATCCTCCTGGGCTGGATACCTGGCCAAGCCTACAGGCTGTTTCAGGACCTCACGGACCTGTGCCCTGTTGTCCCAGGACTCAGGAAGGCTGAGGCAGGAGGATTCCAAGTTCCAACTCGAACTGGGAAATTCAGGAACTGAGACCCTGTCTCCAAACAAAAAAATAAAAACAGCTGGGGATGTGGTGCCTTCAATCCGAAGTACCAGGGGGGAAAAATCTGGCCCACTCTAGAGGAGAGTGGGAGGGATCTAGAGAAAGTGAATTGTCAGGGTGCCCTCTAAACTCTTCTCTCTGAGCTTTCTCTCTGAGCTCCAGTCCAGGTCAGGAGCTCAGTCCTTGGGCTTCAGGCCCAGGAAGACCTGTCCTACACCCCAGGAGCAAGGATACCATGTGGGAGAGGCCAGGCTCACTCTGGCTTGGAGAGGCCTATGGGACATCTGAAGCTCCTGGGCCCCTTGCTTTTCTCCTTGTGGAAGGAGAAGCTGTGCTCCAGGCAGACCCCACTGCAGAGCAGTCCCCTCTACCCAGCAGGTGGTTCCCTGTACCCAGCAGGGTAGTGGCCTGGGGACCAGGGCAGGGCTATAGGTCTCTCAGCCTCTTGGTCTTCTCCAGAGGGTGGGTTTGTGTGTCCTCTGGGCCTGGGCAGCAAGGGTGATATCCCTGTGGGGGACAGGGCCTGGGAAAGGTCACCACTGGCCATGGAGTCTGGTGGTGGCACTTGGCTGTCCTCATAGTCCCTAGCCCCAACAGGTCCTCGTGAAACTGCAGGGCTCCAGGTCTCCAGAGCTCTTCGGCCTGTGCAAGGGTTGTAGAAGCAGCTCGGCTATGGTGGCATCCCCTGCCTGGGCCCTGGAAATTTGCTTTCTTCCCTAGGGCCCCCAATCCCATGGAGCCTCACCAAGGCGGAGGCCACAGGGTGGGGGATACAGGCAGGGAGGGGCCCTCAGCAGCACCCTTTCCCCAGAGCTGTGCTGGCACTCAGGCCTAAAGTGTGTTCAGCAAGAGACGGTGTCCTTAACTCCAGTCTCAATTCTAGACCTTAACCCCAACCCCAACCCCAACCTAATCCCAGCTTCACATTCAACCACAGCCAAACCCCAAATCCAATCCTAACCTAACCTGAGCTCCACCCCCACTCCCACCACCACTCCCAAATCAATCTTAGACTTAACACCAACCATACCCTTCCCTGCACCTTGCTGTACCCAGGAGTCCAGCTCTGGTCCCAGGAGGGCTGGTGGGGGGCTAATGTGTAGGGCTGAGGCACTGTTGCCTTCCAGGGAGGAGACCTGTAGCCTTGGCATGCTGCATGGCCCCTGGGTGGTAGAGGTGAGAGACTAGAGACCCAGCTCCCCTTGCTGTGAGCTCAGGGAGCCTTGTTACCTTTGTATTTGCCCCAGGCTAGGTCTGGGGCAAGGCCACTGCTGCACAGCCTGAGAGCCAGGTGAGCTCAGCTGTCTGGACCCTTTCACTGTTGCAGGTTTGTTCCCAGTATGGCCCTCTCTGCCTGGGAAAGAAGGAGGAACTTTCTGGGGCTAGGCCAAGGTCCCTGCCCTCCTGCAGAAGTCTGACAATGGTGGGCTGGCTTCCCCATGTTTCATGTGGTTTGGCTCATGTACATTTTGTAAACTGAGGCCAGAGCTCTGTAAGCTGTCTGGGACTACATAGCTAGGGAGCTCAGAGCCAGGCCAGTGAGCCCAATTTGAAAGGTCCCAGATGCCAATGCTGCTGTGGCCATCCCTCCTCTCAACGCTCCTGCTGTGGGTACCTGCCTTTTGCCAAGGTCTGGTCTGACTCTGTCTCCCGCCTCTTGGCTTTTCTTGTGGTCGTTCCAGCCTGGTCAACATCAGACCAGGTGGGGTTGGTGTCAGAAGATGACTTGGAGGATGGCAGGAGCTGTTCGGGCAGTGGGTGATTACCTGCCCATGATCGAATTAGGGCTGGCTCCAGACTGGAGGCCGATGGAGAGGCTGGGACAAGGGGCACGTGCATATTGGGGTAGGGCCCACCTTCTCTGGTGTCCTGCCTTGTCTCCTTCCCCCAGAGGTGGGCTGTGCCTCAGGCCTGGTCTCAGAGAAGAAGGAACCCCTGCCTGTGGTGGAGGTAAGGTCTGCACTCAGAACCAGCCCTGCTTGGTGAGCTCGTGCCCCAGTGTGGTGCCCAAGATGGGGCTGGCAGTGGGAGCTCTGCACTTGTAGACAAGAAAGGTGGGGAAGGGGAACAGCCTAGGGGCTGCAGGTACACAGGCTGTCTGCACCCCCTACCCTGTGTGTGTGTGTGTGTGTGTGTGTGTGTGTGTGTGTGTGTGTGTGAAAGCCTAACACAGCTGTTTCCTCTTTTATACTTGCTCCAGGGCCAGAGAGGCATTTAACATGGTATCATAGTCACTCTCCTATAACTAGGTACTTTTTTCCTGTCTTTTTGAGGCAGGGTTTCGCAGGCTGGCCTTAGGAACTCACTTTGTAGCCCAGGCTGCCCTTGAACACACAGTGATTCTTTCGAGTGTCTTGTGAGTGCTGAGATTACAGGTATAAGTCACCATGCCCAGTAGTAGATACTTGAACCTGAACATAACTCAGGTTCCCATAACTGGGACAAAATACCAGAGAATCCTCATCTTAAAGGAAGGTAGGTTTATTTTAGCATATGTTTTCAGTCCCTGGTCTGCCGGCTCCAGGGCAGAAAGGGGCTGGTGGAGGGAAGGGTGCTGCCAGGAAGCAGAGGAAAGGGAGGAGTGGGGACAAGAGTCACCCTTCCCTGTCCCTCAGTCACCGCGGGGGTGTCGATGAGTGAATCCAGGGGCGCGCACAGCGTCCATGGACCCATCCTCTTCCACGCGTGCCTCTGGGGGACCCTTCAGGTCTATCCCTAACCCTGGCAGGGAGACAGTGCGAGGCAAATAGCTCTGGCGCTGGAAGACGCACTCAGGGTGATTGCTGTGACTGAACAAACCCCAACACCCTGGATGCCCAGCTGAGGCTCCCTGCCGGCTCCTGCCGCCCTCTAATGTGCTGCAGGCAGGAGCCTCCGCTGTTGCCTCTGGCTGGCTCCCTCCCAGTCTCAGTCTGCTCAGGGGCACTTTGGCCCGTCCCGCTGCATGGGTTCAGGTCTCTGGGAAATGTCCTTCATGCGTGGTTCTCCCTTGTTTCTTCACACTTAAATATGAAGCATTAGCAGCCTAGGTTTGCAGGGGGCCTGGAGCTTCCGAGCATGCGCAGACAGCTCCTTCCTGCCTCTTTCCACTGCCACTGCCACTACTCCCGCCCGGAAGTTGCGGCATCCTCTTAAAGGGTCTGCCCCTTCCCACATCCCCACCCTATTCTCCAGAAGCCAGAGCCCTAACCTGCCTCTCTCAGACCCAGGCCATTCCACTGTCTGCTGCTGTTTTCTGGAATGGTGGCACCAGCAGAGTGTGTGGCACGCGTGGGGACGCAGGCTCCTGGATCGTTACAGGGCCTCTAGGGCCCTCTAGTGCTGCGTGGACCAGTGTGAGTGTCGGGGCTCCTGCCTGGGCTGCCGCCTTGTGGACCTCTTGCCCTTTCTCTCACCTGTTTCACAATTCTTTCCTCTTCCTATTGATTTGTTGTAAATCCATGTATGTTCTTTTTAATCTTAATTTTTCATATAGCAACTTTAAACATCAAACAGAATGCATCCTATCAGTGCGTTCAATGGCACTGGCTTTTCCCTTTCTTTACAGTGCTGGATATTGAATTCTGCGCCATCTGTGCCAGGCAAGCACTCTGCTACTGAGCTGGACTTCCAGCCCTAAAGAGCATCTTTTTGTTGTTTTGCTGTGTGGCCCGACTGGCCTTGAATTCACAACACTCCTGCCTCAGCCTTCTGAGTGGTGGGATTCTAGGTATGCAACACCATGCCCCACTCACAGCATTTTCCAACGGGCAGAAATCCTTTTACTGTAATCCAATTGATACAGTTGCCCACACATATCTCCCACCAAGGAAGCTATAGACATGCTGTCTATTGTATGCGTTCCTGTGAATGCTGGGAAGAATTTCAAGGGGTCCTTCCTCCCTCCCTGTCCCCCCACAGTACCGGCGATTGAACCCAAAGCCTCACACATGCTCTGCCAGCACTCTGGTGCTGAGCTGTACCTCCAGCCCTTTTTGTTTTTCATTTTGAGATGAGTGCTCACTAAATTGCCCAGGCTGGCCTTGAACGTGTGAACCCTGTGCTCCAGCCTTTCCAGTGGCTGGAGTGACAGTAGGGGTCATTGTGCCTTTATTTCTCTGTTGATTTTGTTAGGTCACCTATGTAAATGTGATTCCTTCTGGACAACCGTGTGGCATCCTCTGCACTCTTACTGTTTCCTGGGAGAGCAGCACTGGTCAGGTCCCGGGCGCTGCTCTGGGCAGCAGATTCAGGGGATGGGGAGGAGGTATGCGTGGCCCCCCCGTGTACCAGGGCTCTGCTCTCCTGCTGCAGTCTTACTTTCTTGGCTCACTTTCCAGCTCTTTGGCACTTTTAAAGGTGTTTAAAAGACTTTATGCTTTTTGGGGGAGTGACTTTCAGTGTTACCCTGTTACTTGTATGTAAAGAAGTCCCTTTT